GTTTTTGGATGTGCTTTCTGCCGTCTCATGCAGTCTCCATGAATGGAGCATGTCACAACAATGAACCGGCTCACAGACATAAGAAATAAATCTGTAGAAAGCTTGAAATATCTATTATTAAATGAACCAATTCAAAAAAAAAAATCGTCTCAAAGTATGTATTCTGTATGAAAGGTGCATTTCTCTATTAAAGGCACATCCATTACTGTGGAGATGGAGAGTCAGCACCTGTGTTTGCAGCCGACACTGACTGAGAAAGCATTAATTTAGTAATAAATAATTAAAATGTCTTCTTTTTCCCAGATGCATTCATAATAATTACTTTTGCTGGTGTTTGCAGTAAGCTTTATGCACGCGCTTGAGCGCGGCATATAGGCTATAATAGCCTACGCCTAAATGCATATTGAAAGATGATTTAGTAGGTTATTATATTAATCAATTTAATATAAACATGTGACTAGTTGACTAGAAAAATCCTTAGTCAGGGGCAGGCCTACTTGGCACTTGACGATCCATTTTTTAAAATAAAATGCTAAAACATTATGGAATGTGCAACTGCAAATCACATCACGTTGTATTGCGTTGCACAAGTTATGCATGTGTAATGAGTCAAATGTTTTTATTTTATTTAATCCTTCTTAATGTATGGGGGTGCTGGAGCACCTGCTAGCCTCTTCCTAGCGCCGCCCATGGTGGTACATAAGAGAATATGTCATGCATGTCTCTATGGAAGCATATGGGTTGCAAAATTCATTTTGAGATGTAATATGCAAAATGACAATGTGATATGTAAAATGGCAATGCATTTCTGTATTTAAATTGACATTTTCACATATCATATGTGCAACATTTAGTGCAAAATGAAAATTCAATTATATAATTTACATTTGCCATTTTCTACACTAGTTTTAATATGTAAATTAAAAACATATTTTAACGCTTTATAAGTTGCAAAATTAAAATGAAATTGTAGTACCCAAATTGATTAGATATGTTTAATATGTCCAAGCAAAAACTGTAGCAAAATTCTCATTTAAATGCCATTTTTCCTAAATGCATTTAGAATTATGGGTAGTAAACTTTAGATGAGCAAAATCTAATTTAACTGTAGCAAAATGCAGTGTGAATTTCAAAATGCAATTTGAGCCAAATGTGCAGCAAAATGGTTGCAAAAATGGTGATTTAAATGTCTTTTATTTTTCTTAAATGCATTGACACTTATACTTAAGACGTTTCAATTGCATTTTCATTAAATACCCTGCGATCAGTGTAAACTAGTCAATGTGGATTTGAAAATGCATTCCGAGCCGATCATGCCCCCAGCTTGTCAATCATTATATCAAGGCGGGCCTGGTGAGCCTTTTTTTTTTTTTTTTTTTTACAGACTGGCCCATTGGTTTGTCATCTATATGGACAGCATAAACTGTCCATGGTTAATAACAATGAACCATAGACAGAGCAATGAAGTATCTGAAACCATTTAGGTCAACCTGAATAGGCTAAATCACTGCTGAAGCGTATTAGCTGTTGAAATGGATTTACTTATTGTAGAATTAACTGAAGTTTTCATGTGCATTGTAATGTTTGTGTATGCCTTAACAAATTTTAAATTTTAGATTTTAAAACAAGCATTTTATTCATAAATCCATATGACTTTACCTTCACGCTGTGGAAATATGAAGGGAAGATAGAAGACGCAGCGCTGAAAAGGGGCAGGGCTACATAAAGTCTATAAAGAGTTACATATTGCACTTTTATGAATGTGTATTATAAGTGAGGTTAATAATGTATCCTACATATATTATTAACCCCTTAAGTGTCACCGGCCCACCGATATTTGGCTAGTGAGTTATTTGTGATATTTATTTGTGATATATTGAGCGAAGTTTCACCAAGCCCCATGTTGGGAACCTTGCCTGAGACTACTGGGGAATTATTATTATTATTATTATTATTATTATTATTATATTATATTTAAATTCATATTCCATTCAAATCTTTTTGTAACATTTGCTCTCTCTCTCTCTCTCCCTCTAAATAAATAAATAAAACTTGTAATTGTTTATTGGGAAATACTGACTAACTTCCTTATTTGGTATTGTGTTTAAAGTTAGTGGTGTTGTTAAATACAGATTTTGACTTTTATTTCCATTGCTCTATATCAGTTAGAGGTTATTGTTTGGTACGTTTGGGTTAAAAGGGTGTTCCCATAATTGGTTGAGAGACACATAATAAAAGAACCTGTTTGTTCATCCTAAAGAGCTCCAGAAAAGCAGCTAGTATGTTCTTTTCTAAAGGACATAGTGTTGATATAAAACAAGATATTTTAATTTCATGAGAGAGATTACAGGTTGTTTCGGAATATAAATACTTAGGGGTTCATTTGGACTCTAAAACGCATATAAAAAGGTATTTAAAAAGGTAAAATTTAATTCATTTAATTTTCAGTATATTAGAAACTCTGAGGTTGCAAATGTAGATTTTCATTCTATGAATCTTTCTCATATTACTTATTGTCTGACAAGTTGGACTAATACACATTCTATAGTTCTAAAACCATTGGAATTATTGTACAAACAAGCACTTAAAATTTTAGATAAAAACAATTTAGTTTTCACCATTGTTATATTTTAAATACGTATAACCTGCTTAGTTGGGAAAACATCAAGTTTAAAAATGTTTGTTTAGTTTATAAGATTATGCATGTTTTGGCTCCTCCTCTGGTTGACTTTATTAAATTTAAATATATTGAAAACAGAGTAACTAGAGGTGCAGCTAAAACTGATTGCATAATTCTACATAGGAAAACCTTGTTTGATCAAGCTGTTTTTTTCTTTCACAACATCACATCAGTGGAATTCAATACCACAATCAATTAGAGAATGTACATCATTTAACTAATTTAAGCATAATTTTAAGAAATGGCTTCTTCATAACCAACGTGAACATTAATGCTGTTTATTTATCTTGATAAGCTGCTTTTTATATTTATTTTGTAGTACTTATTTCTTTATTTGTTATTGTAATTTTGTATACTTTGTTGTTTAAATGTATTTTAGAGAATCATATTTTTTGGCTGAATTTCATTGTTATTGTTTTTCTATTTTGTTTTTTTTTCTTTCTCTAGTTTTTTGGCCTAATAACATCTGGCAAAGGGACTATCAATTAAAACTAGCCTTCCGGCTAATTTGGGTACATTTATATTCATGAATGTTGATTAATGTACACTGTCCCTTTTTTCGTGAAATAAATAGAAAAAAAAGAAAGACAACATCTGTAAGAGTAGGGTGTTACACAAGTATGGCGGTTTACGTCAAAGCCTGGACGTATGTCTTCTGAACTTTATTCAGTAAATGCAATTTCAGAATGTTGACACAGAGACACATTATGTGCCAAATTCTACCAGAGGACTGTCTGATTATTGGGGCAAAGCTTACCAATTATAGGTGCTACCCTTTGGCCTGGTCTTAGCGACTTGTAGCTCAGTATAAGCCAATAGTCCATTATTTTGACTATTGGCTGATACTGACTCAAAGAGTTTGTTGTCTCAACATCGAGAAATTGTCCTCAATCAACAAGAGCAGTGCTTCTTATACTGATTATGTACAGTTTATTCACCATTTTATGAATCAACTCTAGGCCTCATTTCAGGCATTATCTAAGGGTGCATCATTGAAGGATATTTGTATATCAGCAAACCAACTCTTCAAAACTGGATTATCGACTTGACCCCTAGTTTCAAGGTTCTGTCTGCTTAAACAGGTGTCAGTTCATATTTATCTGCCCGTCTGTAGTCATTTCATGATTTTATAAGCTAGCAGTCACACCGTATTGGGGTACAGTATAGTACCTATTGATGCAACATTGAGTGAACCTATGCAGGGGAACATCTAGGTAATGCATTTAGTTTGCCGTACTCCTTCGTTACTGCATATGACTTCCTTTGCAGAAATGCTTAATGGCAAGGATACATCCTTTTAAAGCAGAAGTGATGCAGCACCTCAGAGGTCAATACATTTATATGAGTTTTATACAGGCTTCAGATCATCGTCATAACTGGAGGTGTTCCCAAAGTGCCAGCTATTGATGCAGTGTCTTGTTCCCTATTCAGGGAACTAGGGTTACATGTGTAACCAAGATGATTTACAGGCTATTGAGTACATGAGCACCTCTGCAGTTGTTGTTGCATCTCCGCTATTTTGTTGTTGCTGTTGTTCCACCTCTTTAGTTTCATTTTCAACTTTGAAACACCTTGTGGAACAACTGATTACTGCAAAACAAATTTAATGCATGTGTGTGACCTACACATGCTACAAAAATCGAGTGGTGTGCGTACAGTATGCTCGTTCTATTCTGATGACGAAATTTGTGTAACATGCACTGTATGCTGTCCTTTGAGTACACATAAAATGTGAAGTATACTTTGGGCTTTAAAATCCTTCAACAGATTATTGCCTAGCCTGGCACCTATTAGGGCTTATATTAGCTACAGTCGAGGTCATTTTTTAAGAGGTGCAATTCTGGATTTTGAGGCTACCAGAGTTGAAATCATTTTCTCACTCTTGCCTTGAAAATATGTAAATGAAACTCTGAAAAATTCTGTGTAAAATTGTATCTAAATCTGTATCTTTCCCAGCTAACATAGCCATTGGGCCATTAGTAGAACATTGGTGACAAATGGTAACAATAAAAACATGTATATACTAACTAACTAAGTAACTGCTATACTAACTACTTTGTCTTTTATTTATTTAATATTTTCATGTTTATTCAAATTGTATACATAATTGTTAGCAGGCTAAATAAAGACCAAGTGTGTTTGGGCGAAGGAGTTGAGTGGGGGTGCTGGGTGAGAGAACAGTGGTCATATATAAATATGAACATGACGTTTTTATTAATGTAGAAATTTTACATAGAAAGAAAAAACATGTTTGACTTTTGTATATTTGTTTGTTTCTTTTTTATGCTGAGATAATTTTTCTGAACTCTATTCCATTCAGATTTTTGACTGTGTTGTCATGGTTAGAAGCCCAGAAAAGATGACAGGTGTGTGGAAAGTTAAAATCTGTGGAGATCAAAGAGGTTTCATCTGCAAAAGGAAAACAGGTTGGATCAATCATCAAATCATTGCAAAATTTGTATCTGAAATAATGTTAATACAATGATTTTAGTTAAGTATATCACAAATGTACTGGTCACAGCTCAAGCAAATCTCTGCAGTATAATGTTATAACTTGTATTAAGACACAAACCAGTTTATTGGTAAGCAGTAATTGGTAGACCAGGTCACTGTTCATTTATTTAGCGTATTTTACCTAACGTGTGTAACCTGTATTTAACCTATGTGTTATAGACTCTCAGCTTGCTCGTCCTGTGACAACAGCATTGCCACAACATTTCTTCACAATGGCAAATGATTCATACAAGGTTCAAATGGAGAAAATGAGCTGGGATGAAGCTAGGAGACAGTGTAAAGCAGATGATGCTGACCTTGCCAGTGTGCTTGATTCCATCAGCCAGGCTTACACCATCCTTAGAGTCAGCAAACTTAAGGAGCCTCTGTGGATCGGTCTCAATAGCAACCTGGTACAAAAATTTATTTGAAAATATGTAATTCCCATGTGCATAAAGTAAGCATTGAAACACATGACAAAATTAAAAAAAGTTTAATTTTGTAAAGTAAATAAAAAACAAAAAAAGTTTACAACAGTGTCAAGCTAACATAATGTGTGTGTGAGTGTGCTCAAAGGGGTAACAAAAGTTTTGCCATGTAATAAATGTTCCTGGATCAACATCCATGTGGATCATGGAATAACGCTATGATCAACCAAGATTAGTGCTGGGGTTGGGTCTTCAACAACATTCTTATCCCTGTATAATTTGCCTCTGATTTTAGGTATAGTTTATGGTTCGGATCAAAAATTAGGGTTAGTGTGAAGACTTTATTTTTTATCAAAAAAAAAAAGATGTTGAATATCTTCTACATGGCAAAATTGTAGTCACTGCTAGCATGTTAAGACATGTTGGTAATGTCAAGAATCTTAACAATGAAATTTGTTTGCTTTAGACAAGTGGTCGGTACCGCTGGGTGGACAACTGGCTTCTAAGCTACAGTAAATGGGCAACAGGAGAGCCCAAAAATAATTTAGCTTGTGTATATATTGACACGGATGGTGACTGGAAAACTACTGCATGCAGCAACAAGTATTATTCCCTGTGCAAGCGATCCACAGGTATTTCATTCAAAATTCTGCAAGCAATAAACATGTAAATTATCTTACAAATAATTTACTTTAGTAAATGTAATTTTGTATATTAATTTCATTAATATAATTAATATATTAATACAATTAATATATTTTTTATATATTTAATTAATGTATTAATATAATTGTATTAATTAATTAATTGTTATAAAATGTTAAGCAGAAAATTCAAATTTCAGGCATAATCACATTAAAACAGACACTTGTAGAGTGGTGCTTATAGTTTTTATTAGTTGAATTTCTAGTTCAAGACAAAGTTAATATGCTAACATCCTTCCACTGCCCCGAAGACATTGCTCCCACAGATCCACCTCAGATGCCAGGGAACTGCCCTGATTCAAAGAAGCATAAAACCTGGATCCCTTTTAGAGGACACTGTTATGCCTTCATGGCCTCTAGGTCTGACAACTGGGCTCATGCCACAGTGGAATGCATGAGAATGGGTAGGCACTACTTACTTTGTACAAGAACTTAAGTGTACATGTATTTGTTTTAATATAAACAAAATGTATTTGTTTTAATATAAACATGAGTCACACAATACACAAAAAATGCTGGGTTATTTTATGTATGTATGTATCCCTTCCTTCCTTCCTTCCAAATGCTAGGTTCAGCCTGTTGGGTCATTTTATTGGGCTATTTTTTAATATTTTTACACAGGTGCTAGGTTTTCTGCAGTCTAAAAAAATATTTTATTTATTTATTCACTCACTCAAATGCTGGGTTCCGCTTGTTGGGTCATTTTATTCGGTTATTTTAAATATGTTTTGTTTTGTTTTTTTACCCTGGTGCTGGGTAGTTTTTTTTTTCTGTAACTCAGCTGCTGGTTCATTTTCAATGTCAGTACAAATGATGAACCCTCTCACACACCTACCTAGTGCTGGGTCAGTGTAACCCAATGTTGGGTAAACTGCGCCAAACTGGTTAAAACTGGATACATTGTCAATAGTCATTTTGTGTTCTGTTCTGAAAGAAAACTTGACTGACGGGAAACTTCCTGAATTAAATTAAGGTTTGTATACAGCAAAATACAGTTAAATCAACTCTGCTCAGAGTACATATTGTCCCAATCTACACAGTGTTAAAGTAACACTGAAGCAGAGTTACCACTGTTGAGGATTATGTGATACATTTTCATGTCTAAAAGCCTGAGCAGTAGTTGTTCATCTTCAACATTGTTAACAACAGGTTTTCTTTCAGAACAGAACACAAAATGACTATTGACAATGTATCCAGTTTTAACCAGTTTGGCACAGTTTACCCAACAATGGGTTACACTGACCCAGCACTAGGTAGGTGTACTATATTAGTAGGCTAATATATTAAATTGTATTCCAGTCAAATTATTAGTAAGACATCTGTAGTCTTTCTTTTTTTAATGTTCATCGCAGTTAACCTCTGCTTAGAATGCTAGCCTTCTACAAATGCAGCATTCAACGGGTCTACTCTCATAGCAAATGATATGCCGGCACCACTGTGGACGTTTCATTGTTTCACCTCCTGCCAAACGAATGTGCGACCAGGGCTAAAACACGACGGCACTTTGCTGTTATATTCAACAAAGTTGCTGTGCATTCCACTGACTACAATAGGAGTGCTACTGATCCATTGCTTTAGCAATGCAATTGTCAAGCTATGTGTTTGATGGGTTGAAACTTAAATGTCTGACAGATAAGATGGCACAAGGTGAAGCTGTTTTTGATGTAACTTTTCAAACATGAATATAAGATAAGTCATGAATATAAGTCATTTAATGAACTGGAACAGCCTACTGATAGCAATTTTCTTCCCACAGATTGGCTACTCTTGCTATTCTTGTCATGCCCCTAAAACCTTTACTCAATGTTTTTGAGTATTTTATGATTGTTAAAGACTGACTTGACATTGAATAAAAAAAATACTCCTACTGTTCTTGTACTGTATAACACAGATTTTAGAGTGCATTTTTATTATTTAAAATAAAAAAACTTTAATTGGTTGACTGACCCAGCACTGTAAAAAAACAAAGCAACCCAGCAAATGGGTTAATGTATAAAACCCAAAAAGCTGAGTCAAAATAACCCAGCATGTGGTCTGCCCAATATTTACCCAGTGCCGGGTTGCCAAATAACCCTGAAATGTTTGTTTTTATCCCAGCATTTTTTAGAATGTAGTATTGTATCTATGTAGAGATACTATTATTGAAAGTATGACTTTGTGTGAGAGTATGACTTTTTCTTCTTAGCAAACACAGTAAGGATATGTTTTGAAAAATGTTCAAGCTTCAAATGTTACATACATAAAATATTTGATTGCCCACTTTTATTGGACCACTTTTTGTTTTCTTTTTGGTGACTGTAAAAATAAAACTGGTCTCTAATTTCAGGAGCATCACTGGTGAGTATCGAAGACCCAATAGAATCCATGTTTATTAGTCGGAATACTGAGATCATGCAGGATGGAATCAAATCATTCTGGATTGGCATGCACCGCAGTCATATGGGTTAGAAATGTATTTAATCCAAACAAACAATTCTCAAAATGATCTCAGAAGCATCATCTGATGTGTGTGTATGTGTGTGTGTCACAGGAGAATGGATGTGGATTGATAATATGGTGGTAGATTACACAAACTGGAAACCCCAGATGCCCGGTGATTTTGGTAGCTGTGTGGAAGTCCAGTCAAACACTGGTATGTGGAGTACCACAAACTGCAATTCTTACAAGCCTTATATTTGCAAGACTGCAAAAGGTTAGTTGTCCAAACAAATATGCAAATGCAACTCTATTTTTTACATTCAGTTTAATATTAGAGATTACCTTTCATAAGCTTGTACAAATATGTCTTTATATTTCAGTTATACCACCAACAGAGAAACCATCAATACCACGTATGTAATACATCTACATTTCAAGTTCTGCAAGGAGTTAATTGTAATTAATTATAATTAGGGCTGTCAAAGTTTACAAATGAATGTTTTTTTATATAATCACACATTTACCTATTACATTTTGTAAAATTCCAATTAATTCTGTTTGATAGCACCAACACAAGTGTCCATATTCAACACACACACATCCTTGTAGATGAGTTTTTGGGGGCTATCACACTGGTCATGAGTGCGATTGTGCCCAGCGTTCCCTGCAATCTTGGTCTACTGATCTATATATTAGGGCTGTCTATTTAACAGGTTAATCTAATTAAAATCTTTAATGCAATTAATGCACTCGGCCCACCCAATCGGGTGAATCAATGATTCAATGGCCCATTAATGAAGAAAACTGTTTCGTTCAATCAGCCAAATGGAATGAATGAATAAAAAAATAAAAAAATAATTCTAAAGTTTGTCTCAGGTTACGTATTTAACCATGGTTCCCTGAGAAGAGAACGAGACAATGCATCCTCTAGCAGTTGCTACTGGGAATGCCTTCGGCATGACCATTGTCTGAAGTATACATAAAAACACGACAATAACATTGGCCGGTGATAGCCTATGATGTCACTACCGGCGTGAGCACAGTATAAAAGGGCGAATCAACTTTGAACTGCGGTCACTACAGGGAACAATATACCCATGCTGCCATGCTGATGCTGATGCTGAGGGGAGTGCAAGCCAAGTACCAAGGCGAGCACTAAGTACCAACTCAACCATAAACAAGCGAGTTGCCAATAGGATGCCTCGATGGCTGTAAGTGACATTATCCCCTTCAGCCAAAGGCCTGAGCTGTATGCTACAATGAACTTACCTGTTAGGGGCTGAGCTTGAGAAAGCCTGAATCCCAGGCAGAGCTTAAAGGCTTGGAATCAGATAGGCAATGAGATTCATTTAAGGAGATATGGTCGAGTATCAAGGTTGCGAGTAACAAGCAGCTAGATGATCTACAGAATACTCCAGGAGTTCGGTAGCAAACATCCTGTCTAAAGAGGTATCATCAAGGATACATGAGCGAAGTGGGGCCAAAGAAAACTTAGAGAAAGGGAACAAGGCTGGCAGTGCATCACCCTTACCAAAAAGGATTTTAGAAAAATGTGCAAATGTCTGAGCATGCACATTTACAATGTACATGGATTTTAGAGAAGTGCACAAAGACCTAGCATGTGCACTTACCATAAATATGGATTTTAGAATTACCGTTACTAAAGGTCACCTGAGACCAAGACAGCCCTAGGGACTTGGTGTGACTGAAACATGCTTAAGAGTAGCAGAGCATTCCGTACAGCTTCAAGTCACAGAACCAGAGCACTACTGTAGATCATCATGTCTATGGATGGGAGCATAAGCATATGATTCGGGAGCACTGTGCACACAGGCAACCCTTTAGCAAGGGGAGCACATTAAGCTCAACCGAGAGAGCAGCCTATTAGGGAGGCAGACAGGGCCTAGCAACCTAGTATGGCTATCTAATGGAGCATGTTCACAGGTGACGCTCTAGAATTAGGGGAGCGCTATCCAGCTAAACTGAGTAGGTATCATCAGGATACAAAAGCAGAGTGGGGCCCAGAGTAAAAAACTGGGTAACACTTTATTTTGATAGTCCACTTTTGACATTCTATTAACAGTAAGTAACTTTGCAACTACATGTCAACTAACAGTCATTAGAGTATTAGTAGACTGTCTGCTTAATACCTTCTAAAACTTTATATTGATGGGTACACAGCATACAACATAGAATCAGAATCAGAAAGAGCTTTATTGCCAAGTATGATTGTGCATACAAGGAATTTGTTTTAGTGTCAGAAGCTTCCAGTACACGGAGACAACAACAACACACAGACAATAAAAATAAGATGAGAATAAAAATACACACATGTAAATATAAATAGACAAAAATAAAAAATAAATAAAAATAAATAAATTGTATGTACAGTTGTGTTATAGATGATAGAATAGGAATATAATAGAGTGAGATGCAGGGATGTACTAGGATGTAGGTGGTAACAAATAAATATAAGATTATTGCACATATCTTTATTGCATAATGGGGGGAACATTTAACTGTTCATAAGGTAGATTGCCTGGGGGAAGAAACTGTTTTTGTGCCTGGCTGTCCTGGTATTTGCGGCTCTGAAGCGCCGACCAGATGGCAAAAGTTCAAAAAGGGGATGGCTTGGATGTGAGGGATCCAGATTGATTTTCTGAGCCCTTTTCCTCACTCTGGATGTATACAGTTCTTGAAGGGTCGGCAGGGGAGCACCAATAATCCTCTCGGCAGTCAGAACCGTTCTCTGTAGTCTTCTGGTGTCTGATTTTGTAGCTGAACCAAACCAGACAGTTATTAATGTGCACAGAACAGACTCGATGATGGCTGAGTAGAACTGATTCAGCAGCTCCTGTGGCAGGTTGAATTTCCTCAGCTGGCGAAGGAAGTACAACCTTTGTTGGGCCTTTTTTACAATGGAGTCGATGTGAGTGTCCCACTTCAGGTCCTGAGAGATGGTGGTTCCCAGGAATCTGAATGACTCATCAGAGTGGGGAGTGCAGGGATGTTTCTCCTGAAGTCCATGATCATCTCCACTGTTTTGAGTGTGTTCAGCTCCAGGTTCTTAAGACTGCACCAGACAGCCAGCTGCTCAACCTCTTGTATGTAAGCAGGCTCATCCCCATCCTGTATGAGGCCGATAAGTGTGGTATCATCTGCGAACTTCAGGAGCTTGACAGAGGGGTCTTTAGAGGTGCAGTCGTTGGTGTACAGGGAGAAGAGCAGTGGGGAGAGGACTCAACCCCATCTTCTCACAGACATACTAACATTGAGAAACTTTGCAATTATATGTAAACGTATTCTACTAACCCTAAACCTAACCTAACAGTCTACTCTGAGAGTTAGTAGACATGTAGTTGCAAATTAATGAAAATTATTTGATATGTAGTTGCAAAATTACTTATAGTTAGTAGTAGAATGTCTAACGTGGACTATCAAAACTGGGTCCTGAGCCGACTCATAGAAATGGAACAAAGCTAGCATTGCTTTACCCTCACCCTCACCATTTTTTAATTTTAAAAAAGTGTGTGAAACATATAGTGCACACACTTACCATAAACATGGATTTTGGACCATGCTCAACTCAGAAACCAAGAGGAGATTTCAAATGCTCAGTTGGGAGCAGCGCGCTCAAGGTGACCCCCAAACGATGGGAGCGCTACTAAACTTAATCATAAGAGCAGCCAGCCTATAAGGGAGGCAGATCCTAACTACCTGATGTGGTTGCTGGACGGAGCTCGGAGAGTGGAGGGCCCGACTTCCCAGGAGTGGGAGAGGCACTCAGATGCTCAATTGGGAGCGGCATGCTCATAGGTGACCCTTAAGAATGAGGGGTGCGTTCTCAACCACAAAACAAGTCTAGCAGGGAGGCGTAAAGGGCCCAACCACCTGAGATAGCTACTCAATGGAGTTTCCAGAGTTTCCACTCAGCTCAGCGAGAAAGAGCGGTCTATAACCCAGGAGCTAGACTCTCAACTCTCTGAGGAGAGGAAAACTCGCATGCTCTGCTTAGGAGCGAAGAAGCTCAAATAACCCTCCCGCATGTGAGGGGAGCACTACCATGCTCAGAATGCAGACTGACCTCAGATAGAGAATAAAGAACAGGATTCAGGTTGTGTTGGGCATGCTCAGTGCGCCAGTGCGCTCACTTGCTCTCAAAATACTCCGTCATTTTTGGTCATACAGACAACAGTAATTAGTCTTTCGAATCTGTAAAGACTCTATGTTTATTTGTGTGCACTCACAATAACAGCAAAACGTTGCTCTTTTATAAAATAATGAAAGCAAACAGGATGCACTTTCTGCTCTCTTGAGCGCAAAACTTTGTGTATACTTGCCTTACAGGCATGAAAAACATATCTATATAGAGAGCGACATGTCTACTTTAAAATGAACCAATTCCAATGGAAAACAAATATTCTCAGATTATGTCATTCGTATGAAACATGCATACAGGCACGTCCACTACTGCGGAGATAATGAGTCTGTGCCACTAATTTCATCTCTTAAGCTGAAAACTAGTGTATCAATACATTATTAAAATGTTAATGCAGCCACCTTACTGTTTTTCCTGGACACATTCATAATCTGCTGGTGTGCTGTGGCAAGCTTTATGGGTGTGCTTGAGCACTTATTAGGCTATTGTAGCGTCTGGACCACTCAAACACACAATACATATTTTGTTAGCTAGATTTAACAAATACTCTTTAACACCCCAGGAAGCTGAACAGGCCCCTGGTTCTATATTTACGTGTATATGTGTATGTTAGACCAGTTTATGTGTTTATGTAGTCTGTTGGACTAGTTTAAGTGTTTATGTAGTTAATAAAACCTTACTTGTATCACACTTGACGTGTTCATTGTTTGCTTATAACCGGAGTCACTTATTATGCAAGATTTACGCTACAACCTTTTTGTAGAATTGTACAGTAAGAAGTTATTTCCCTTAACCAGGAAATTAACGTTCTTAGAATTGACAGAGTTGACCCTGAGAGGTCAAGTAAATATCTACAGCGGATCTAAAATATTCATAATTAATTATAACTAGTTATGGTTAATTATTCATATTTCCCATGAGTTGATTCGTTACACTATGTAGGCAGTTAAAGGCTCATTATAATGATTTAAATGGCTTATTAATAAATGTGAGATTAGTCGACTAATGCTTAAAATGAATGACTACTAGTCGACCAGAAAAATATTTAGTCAAGGGAAGATGGCATTCAGATGAGATGTAATTTGAAGAGGATGGCAAGGAGGGAGCCTTAAAATAAGATGTCTTGCCCATAGAAAGAGAGCAAGCTTAGCGTCTCTTCAATAGGGGGTATCTTCTCATATCCGCTTTCACGCACCCATTCGATGTTGGCATAACTAGTTTGCTGAAATGAAGATCATGAAGAAAAGGAAGGCTCAACTGAACTGGAGTTGTTTATCAGAAAGATAATGCTCGTCGAGACAATCACGAGGAGTCACCTTCCTGGCCCACTTCCACGGCAAGTCAAGTCTCGCCGTGGCGTGTTCCATAACCACAAGCAGCTCCGTGTATGCAGGACAGGAGGATTGGGAGGACTCAGTCTCAATTTCCTCATCCTCATCTAACAACTCCTGCTCTTCCTGGCTTGGAACCAGCAGAGCTCTAGCCTCTGGACCGGATGACGTCAGAGAAATAGTCATGAAGTAATAATCATCATTCAGCAGCTCACTCTCGTCCGTGATTGACGAGCGAGAAAGGCAAAACCCCTTTTTCAACTCATCGGCCAGGTCCACCTGAGAAACACCTTACTAGTGCTCGCCATGGTTGCACGCGTTCTTACCGGTATGCAGATTCAAACAAAACAGTCCCTTTAAAGATGAAGAAGAGGATGATGTGTTCTCTCTGCGCCCTTTTATACTGTGGTCACGTTATATTAGTGGCGTCATAGTAATGTTATTGTCATGTTTTTATGTATGTTTCAGACACCGGTATTGCCGAAGGCGTTCCCGTAGCGACCGCTAGAGGACACAGCTCGAAGTTCCCTCGGAAAGGAACTATTTGAAACATTTCTTATTTAACCATAATGGCTTTAAATTATCATTTGGGGTACTGTCTTTGCCAAATTAATTAAAACTGATGTGAAATCTTGCTAAACAAAGACATGATATATATCAAACCTACAAAATAAATCATATGCCCCACTCATTGAAAACCCCTGAGACAGACTCCGCTTGCTTTCATTCACGTGATTTGTCGAGATGAAAGATGACCCCGCCTGGTAGTGTGATTTATATAGTGTAATTTCTAATCACCCAGATACTGACACTGACACTTTGACTCTGAGTACGAGCAACATGTCAGAAGTGCCAGTATGCAAGAAAAAAATGCTGATACTCTAAAGACTAAAATATAGAAGTGCTCACTTCAAGCACTGCAAATAATGATGTGTCTGATTGGTCTAGCAGTTACATCTCCTAAGCCAGTGTTTCCCAACCACTGTGTCGCGGCACACTAGTGTGCTGTGACAGGTTGTCGGATGTGCCGTGGAAAATTATCAAAAATGTCCTTATCTCTATTATATTTCGTTATTATTATTTTAAAGGGGTCATCGGATGCAAAACATAAATGTGTTTTGGCAGTGTGTACACACATCCACCCCTTAATGATAAAAATCCACCCAGTGCTTTTTTAAATCCCAATAATAATGATCACTTTCTCAAATCAGGCTGTTCTGAGATTCTTGGCTGAGTGACGTAGTTCTGCACAGGCCCCTCCCACGACTATTGAATGACACTGGCGTTTAAGCGTAGACCCACCCTGAGTGAGCTGGAAAACTTCCGCCATTGTTTTAACACTGGAGCAGGGGTAGACAAGATTCCCTCCTAAGTGATTGAGGTGTTTTGTTGTTGGATGTAATAATGAACATAGCAGTTGTCATTTACTCATAACATCTGAGCCTCTGAAGACGCAGAGGATTACGTTTGTTTTTGAAGGCAATGCGCCCCCGAGCTACCTAAATGCGTCTAATGCCGAGTTCACACTGCACGATTTTCAAACTTGTCGGATCGCCGTTGTTTTCACACTGCATGACTATCTGGGGTAGCATTCAGTTGCTGCTGTGTTCACATTTCACGATGGATCGGCGACAGGGGGTTTCACATTGCATGACTTCACAATAGGAAGAATCGCCGACAGCTCTGTCTGGTCCGCAAACTAAGTTTCACAACAAAACACATGCGAGAAGTGATAAGGAAATAACGCGAGAACCCACATGCGTCAGACCGGAGTTCTCGCGAGCAAGACTGTAATTATTAAAAAAAAATATATATAGCCCGCAAATTGTCTGTGAGCTGATTTCCAGCTACAAGGAGAAAAAGAAAAACAGATTATGCAGGAGGGAGATGAAGAGAACAGGGATTGGGTGCATGTTCTGCAAAGAGAGTTGGAGGTAAATCATTTTGCAATAACTGTTATGTTGATGTTGTGGCTGGTCAAGCAAATGTTTGTGCTTGTTTCTGTATGATATAATTGTTCATATATCTATTAAAATACTGATATTCTGGTCTATAACTCCTCCCCGAACTTCCCTCTGCCCTGTATCTTGGTCTCTCATTGGCTGTAGGTCATCGCCGATGTGTTTTTCAGTCAGAACTCATTTCACACAGCGTGATTGTCACTCAGATCACCTCAGATCGCGTCTTTGACCATTCACACTGCGTGATTGTCACTCGCGTGAATGAACACCGATTTGCCTCCGATGTCAGGCATTTGTCGGCGATTTCGCAAAACCTGTCGGCGAGTGAAAAATCGGGCTAATATCGTGCAGTGTGAACTCGGCATAAGTTCGCATGAATCATTCGTGATCCAGCTTCACATACAGAAGAAGTGAATATACGTTTTTTTTATGAATATTTGCAAATCGTTTACAGTCTCATGAGAATGGCTCGTAACCCCACAGAAGAGAGGGGTGGGGTGAGCAGAGCTCATTAGCATTTAAAGGGACATGCACTTTAAACAGCTTGCTGTGAACAGAGCTGTTTTTGACAAGGTAAAAAGGGTGTTGTTTTACACTACCATTGAGAAATTTTAACCAAAGTATGTTATAGACTTTTCATTAAGACCCTAAAAAATCATATCAACTTGTGGAAAATGGGCATCCGATGACCCCTTTAAATCAGTGCTATTGGTCATCGTTATGTCTGTTTGTGGGTTTTACAAATATTTAACCAATGAAAAGCATTCAAAAGAGCTTGTGACTAAACCTCGTTACGCCATTGGATCCTCAAATTGTCAGTCAAACCTCATAACTCCGCCCCGCCTCCATTCAGAATGAAGTGCCGCGCTGCGCAGTATGACGACAGACACTTACTTATTTGGAATGTAAGGGTAAATAAAGAACTGATGTTTGAATAAGTACAATGTTTCCTTTACTCGAGAAACACTGTCTATAAAGCTAATGTTTTTGTGTGTTTAAAGAACAGAGAAGAGTCTTAGTATTTGCTGTCTAATTGTAGCCAATACACTTTTGTACATTTTAAATATCCTGTACATAGCTGTTCGTCTTTTATATCATAAGATTTTGGCCAAGTGTATTAAACAACAAGAGAAACCGAGTGCCCAAATAGCTACAATAAACATGCAAACTGATGAAAACGTTATGCAATTAATTTACTGCCTCAGATGCGGCCGTTCTAATGATGGACAAAACACAGATCTCTGTCACATCAAAAACCTTGTTAACTCCATTTGAGTATGATTTTTTTAGAAAATATTAAGCGCAAGTGTCTGATCCTATATATAAAACCAAAATACCAACTCTGATGACAAAATATTTAATTATTGAAAAAAATAACTTTTCCCCTTTCTATTTTTTTTTATGCTTAGAGGTGTGCCGTGGAATTTTTTACATATTAAAACTGTACCGTGACAGAAAAAAGGTTGGGAAACGCTGTCCTAGGCTAGTTGAGGTTTGAGGTGGGCAACAACAAGGATGGAGACATGGCTTTGCGGCAAAACTTAGAAAACAAGACTGTCAACTGAAAAGAAAAGAAAAGAAAGAAGAATGTGATTAGACTAGATGGCTTATCTCTTCATGATTGTAGATAGCTCTGCTCCATCACAACTGCCGGTGAATTTCAAGTATCCATGTACACCTTGATTAGCTGGTTCAGGTGTTTTTGATTAGAGTTGGAGTTGAACCAACTGGAGCATGGTTGGAAAGTTAGAGTTAGAACAAATTATGCAGGCCCATACCTTACTCATTGTATGCACTGGTTACTCCCTGGATGAGTTTGGACCGAGTCATTTTCATATTTGCATGAATCACGGCACAGTTGTATTGTGACAGAACTCAGAGCACCTCTTACACGTAGTGCAGCCCACATGACAGCTTTTACATTTTCACCAATTTTTCATGTGAACCATGCTCTGTTTCAAACTTAACTGTCAGTTTAAAAACTTGATGAGCATACATTACTATAACTGAAATAGAAAACTTTTAAATAAAGTTGTCGACTTCCACACACACACACACACACACACACACACAGACAGGCAGACAGATATTTATATCAAAGTATCTCCTCACAGGAAATTTTCTTTGACAGGGTGGGGCGTGGCCTCGTGGCCTCAATATTCTTATCACTCTTGACAGCCCTAAATATAAAATAACCATACATATATCTCTAAATTCTTATTCTAGACATATTTTAATGTTGCTACTAATTTCTGTTTTTGCATTGCAGTCATTGCGGTGGAAGAGGCCCCTCATGGCTCTGCTGGTATCGCAGTAGGGGTTGTCTTGGTCATCATTGCTATGGCAGGGCTTGCCACATTTTTGTTTTTTAAGAAAATCCCTAGGCCTGTGATTGGAGAATGTACGTTTGACAACAGACTCTACATAAATTCTGACCTGATACGGTCTCCTGCCACAATTGATACAAAGGGACTTGTTGCAAATATTGAACAGAATGAGCATGCCTAACACAAACATACACACTTTCACATACAGATACAAATTGACATGCATACACACCCCTCACTATGACAGTAAAGGAAATGACCCTATTAAAGCCCCTCCAAATGTAAGTTTTAAACTTGAGCATACAGTACTTTATAAATCTGGGGAGGGCTTATAAAATACATGTGTATCATTTAAGCCCACATTTGTTCCAGATGAGCCAACCGTGTGTTTATGTGTGAATGCTCTTTATTTTATAAAAACATTTTTGATCTGTCATTCAAACTAATTAAAGAGCTTATGATAGTAGACAAACGTGGATTACACTTTTAGATACAGTTAAAGAAGTCTGTACAGTCTAACCCTTTTTGTAAATGGATGTTTCCTCAATTATATAAAAGTTCCTGTAACCTATTCTTGTTTTATAAACATCTGCAATCTTTATTTTCTCTCTCCTTTCTTTGAATAAACATGTATTAGGACACTCTACATATCTCTCGCTCTCTAGGGGTAAACGTAGCTATTAAGCTCACAAAAATCAAAGATATCAGTTTCAGTACAATAAGTTATGTTAAAATATAATATTAATCTCTCAATCTCTTAATCTCTTAATATTTAATTTTATTTTAAATGACAGAATCATTTCAAATAAGATGCACATCATTAAATGCAAAAGGTCTGGCTGTGCGTAAGAGTAATTTTTTTGTACCCTTTAAGCACACCCGTTTCCAATAAGCTCACATCATGTTTTATTAAAAATTCTTCTTTAAAAAAATGTTTTAAAGAATAATTGAAAAAAATGTTTTTTTGAAGGGACAGAGTCAATCACACAAAAAAACAGAACATTAAAATCAAGAAACAAGGCATTCAGTTTGATCAATTTATATTCATTGTGAAGTGTCATTACTAAGTGCCCTTAGTAAGCAGGGAGAACATCTTTCGCGAATGCAGTCTGATGTGTATTACGGAGACATGGTTACATGATGGCATACCTGATTCCAGCATTAATATAAATGGCTTCAGTGCAGTGCGGGGAGACCGGAGAAGAGAGGAGTGCGGTAAGAGGAGAGGAGGAGGACTGGCTGTTTATATTAGCAACATGTGGTGCCACCTGGGTCATGTAACTGTGAAAGAGCGTGTTTGCAGCCCTGATATTGAACTTTTAGCTGTGGGGCTTCACCCATACTACATGCCTAGAGAGTTCTCTCACGCCATTTTAATCGCTGTCTACATTCCTCCATCCGCTAATGCTGCGGGCGCATGCGATCTCATATACTCAGTCACTGCCAAACTTCAGACTCGCCACCCCGACGCCTTGTATCTCATCTCCAGTGACTTCAATCAATCGTCCCTCACGAAAACACTTCCTACCTTCACTCAGTATGTGGATTGTTACACCGGAGGTGTCAGGACCCTAGACTTGATGTATTCAAATGTTAAAGGGGCCAACAGCTCTTCAGCCCTCCTCCCACTAGGCAGGTCAGATCACAACCTGATCCATCTCCTTCCAATATACAAACCCCTGGTTCAGAGGCAACCTGCTACTGTCAGGAAGGTGAGGAAATGGTCTGATGAAGCCAATACTGCCCTGCAGGAGTGCTTTGAGTCTACTAACTGGGAGGTGCTCTGTGAGCCACAGGGTGAGGACATTGACCAATTGACTGACTGCACCACGGAATATATTAATTTCTGTGTTGACATCTGCATGCCCCTGAAAACTATTTATTGTTTCCCTAACAATAAACCCTGGGTCACCAAGGACATTAAAGGTGCTCTCAATGATAAAAAAGAGGTCTTTTAGGACGGGTGATAAGGAGGAAGCTAAGAGGGCTCAAAGACTGCTGTCTGTCAAGATAAGGGAGGGAAAGGAAAAGTACAGGAGGAAATTGGAAAATAGCCTGCAACAAAATAACTTGAGGGAGGTGTGGAGAGGCATGAGAACCATCACTGGCTACAAAACCGGCAGCTAGCTGTTGGAGGGCAATATAGACCATGCTAATGAGCTTAATCTTTTCTTCAGTAGATTTGATGTGAAGTCTCAAATGCTCCCCTCCTATAACTTCTCTACACATTCACTAGTCCATCCCCCCCATGTAGTGACCACTATGCCAGATTCCTCTGGAACCATCACCATCTCAGAGGATCAAGTAAGAAGGGAATTGAGCAGGCTTAGCCCCACAAAGGCTGTGGGCCCTGATGGAATCAGTCCAAGAATACTGAAAGCCTGTGCCCCGCAACTTTGTGGTGTGCTACAATACATCTTTAACCTGAGCCTATATCTGGAGAGGGTTCCAGTGCTATGGAAAACATCTCGCTTAGTGCCGGTGCCAAAAGTTGCACGGCCCTGTGTACCCAATGACTAGAGGCCAGTAGCGCTGACCTCTCACATAATGAAAGTTTTTGAGAGACTGATCCTCAGATCCATTCGGCCCCTTGTCAAACCTTTCCTTGATTCGTTACAGTTTGCCTACCAGCCTCAACTTGGAGTGGATGATGCCATCGTCCACCTGTTCCATCGAACCTATACTCACCTAGAGAAAGCAGGGAGCTCTGTGACGTTTATGTTTTTTGACATCTCTAGTGCCTTTAACACCATCAGGCCCACTCTACTGGAGGAGAAGTTGAAGAACATGCAGGTGTACACTCCTCTGGTCTCTTGGATTATGGCCTACCTCACTGGCCGCCCCCAGTACGTCCGCATACAGAACTGTGTCCGACACTGTGATCTGCAGCACCGGTGCTCCTCAGGGGACAGTTCTTTCTCCCTTCCTCTTCAGCCTGTATACATCTGATTTTAGTTACAACTCCGAATTCTGCCATCTTCAGAAGTTCTCTGATTACTCTGTGGTTGTAGAATGTATTCAGGGTGGTGACACCTCAGAGTATCAGACGGTAGTGGATTTATTTTATTACCTGGAGTGAGCTAAACCACCTACAGCTCAATGTCAGGAAAACAAAGGAACTTGTAGTGGACTTTAGAAAATCCAGGACCCCCGTCACTCCTTTGTCTCTCCATGGTGAGGAAGTGGAGATTGTTGCAGATTACAAATACCTGGGAGTCCATATAGACAACAAACTGGACTGGACATCAAATTCAACAGCACTCTTCAAGAAAGGTCAAAGCAGCCTGTATTTTCTGAGGAGGCTCAAGTCTTTTAACGTCTGCAACACTATGCTGCAGATGTTCTATGAGTCTATGGTGTCTAGTGTCATTTTCTATGTAGTGGTCTGTTGGGGAAGTAGTATGAAGGTGGCAGACAGAAATAAACTGGACAAACTAATTAGGAGGGCTGGCTCTGTACTTGGCATGGAGCTGGACCCTGTTCATGTTGTGGCTGAGAGAAGGATGTTGTCAAAACTTTACTCAATCCCGGACAATCCTTCTCACCCACTACACAGTGTGCTGGTCGACCAGAGGAGCACATTCACCCAGAGACTGATTACTGCCAAGTGTTCCACTGAGCGCTTCAGAAGAACCTTTATCCCTGTGGCCATCAGGCTGTACAACTCCTCTCTATAAGTGCTGGAACATTTTTGAGTAATGCATGTGTAATACATGTTCATTTCATATGCAATAAGGGACTTTTCTTGTGCAATGCAAATTATTATTATTATTACTGCCTATTTATTAATACTAAAATTAGTGTGCAATGCATACTATATAACTACTGTACTTAATTACCATTACCATACTGGACTTATTATATTCCACATTTGTTATTCCATTTCACTTTAATTAATTTCATATTTGAGCTAAACTACCATTTTCACTGGTCTAGTTTTATATTATTATTTGTATGTTTTACTTATTCATTTTTAATTTTATTGATATATAGGTATATATTTATAAATTTTATTATATTTTTTCTTTCTTTCATTTCTTTCTTTCTTTCTTGAGAGCAATTTCCCTCTGGGATTAATAAAGTTTTTTGAATCTTGAATCTTGAATCTCATTCAAACACATTGCAACATCATGACTGGTCCACGGTCAGCTAAGTAACACATATTCAAATAACAAAACAAACCAATAAAACATTTCAATCATGGGTTGAGCACAGAAACTAGCCTCATTGTGTACTGTATGATGGTCACAAACTCCGATTTTTTAGCTTCAGACTTTGATTCCACCCAGTTGGAGGATATCAAACATGTTTGATATTTTCCGCTGATTTTAGAACACATATTGTTTTCATTTGTCATACGTCTACCAGCAACAATGTGCACGTTTCTGGATGAGTTTGTTGTGATCTGAAGGAATTTAAAATCTGGTAGTGTGTGATGCTCAGTCGTTTACTGTATGATGCCCAGTTTTCCTTTGTGACTATCTACAAAGTCAGTAAGTGTATGATGCCTAGCTGGTGTTTTAAAAATCTGTTTAAATTTTAAGTCATGTATAGTGTATTCCAGCTTTTAATCGTTTTATTTTATTTTTTCCTGGACAGATATGACAGGTTTCTGATGTCTCCTTCTTTGTACAGATGACATGACTCTTTCATCTTTGGGCATAAACTATAGTTATGTCTAGATTTTGTCATCTTAAAGTTGTGAAAATAAGTTATTAATTATTTTATAAAGATTAACTTAAAGTGACAACCATCAGTTAATATTTAAAGTATGTTGTTATGAAGTATTTAAATAGACATTCAGTGTGGAAGAGCTTAAAGGGAGCACAATGAGCTTAATTGGAGCAGCAACAATTTTTAATTAATAAATATAAGATGAAATTTAAAGGACAAGATTTAGCTAAATAAATATTCTAGGTCATGTATTAAGTTTATACATAATGTTATATGAAAAACTATTATATGGAGCTTATAATATGACAACAATAATTTAATTTGTATTGTGTAAATTTGAATTATTGACAAGTGTCATTTAACAAAACTGAATATTATGTGGCATTTAACATTGTTATGAATTAGATTTTTTTCACTTGAATATTAAACATTTGAAATTGAACACAACTGAATATTTTTTTATGGCAGCGTTTTATAGACATGTATTTTCAAAAAGCAATTTTTTTTGTTCTGAAATCTTAGACTGTAAAGTTAAACAAAGTTTTCTGGCGTGAGCGTGTGGTTTAAGATCTAGCTGATCATGAATCACCCAGAGGTAGCCTAGGTGATTCTTAAACATTTATGATTTATATACTTATATGTTAGGTAAGCATTCTCAGCATGTGAAACATTTGTCTAAGCGGTCTCTGATGTTTGTTTTAAAGTAGCCTATATTTGGTGTGAAAGTGATTAGCATGCCACTGTGTCTACACAGGACACGAGCGAAAGCAAAAAAGACAGTAGAGCCCATTGATTATAATCAGTGATATTTCAGAATCAGAATCAAATCAGATTTATTGCCAGGTATGTTTACACATACAAGGATTTTTTTCTTCGTAACAGAAGCTTCCACAGTGCATGGCGCAGCGCAACACTATACGGAAGCGACTGCTTGAAGCGGCAAAGCACATATTGCAAAGA